TAGGCCGTGTACTCCTGGAAGGCAGGCAGGTTTACGGATGTCCCAGCAATGGGCTCTCTGTGACGACTTAGTAAAGGCAGATTTCTGGATCTCACTGAGGATCGTGATTTCCTTGCATTCATAAAGACTTTTAGAGAACTGAACAACTTGGGAATCCCCATGTCTTTCTTCTCTAGAGACTGCCCCAAGGAGCATAGCTTTCTCTCAGATCATCTTGACTGCTTCACTCATGATTGGTAATCCATATCGTATGCATCAAGGAAAAACAATAACCTTCACTGTGTGCCAAGTACCATGACAGGAACAGTGCTGAGAGCCTCAAAGAACTCCAGGCTAATACAAGACTCCATATGTTACCGTGCAGTGACACTCCACTGACAAATGCAAAAGACGATTCAGCGCTAGCAGAAAAGTACATTAATTAGAGGGAAACGGGGTAAGCTTCCTAGAGGACCAGAAACCTGGAAGGTAAATAAAAGAAGAAAGCACATTTCAGTCTGAGGAGACAGCTTAATATTGTAAAGGTGTGGGCCAGATAAAATGCAGGATTTCCAGAGAAGTAGTGTGGTTAGATATCACTAGAGGAGGTTTAGGGGAGGAATGGCAGGTATGAGCTGAAGGGTGAGGCTGACAGAGAAAAGTGTTTTGTAGAGTTAAAAGAAGGGTTGTTTTTATTTATTTTTTCTTTTTTTGGTGAGGTTTTTTGCTATAGGGCACGTGTGCTCGCCAGAAAGACAGAGAGAGACATAGAGACAGAAAGCGAGAAATCACCCCCCAGGGGGGATGGCCACGCCGCAATCCCTTCTCCTCCATTCTCCTCTCGGGATCTTGGGCACGTACGCACACACGTGCGTTTAAGCCACCAGGTCCGGGACTCGAATCGCAGTCGACTACGTGAGAGTCCAGCGACATAGCCATTATGCTAACTGCTGGTCCCAGGGTTGTTTTTATTTTTAAAGACAGAGGACAATGTACAGAGTAACGTCAAGGTAGACTAAAGCCACGGCATTTTTTTTCCATTTTGCACTTTGCATTTTTCTGCCCCACTAATAAAGGATCTGAAACATCATGTGATAGTTATTTGATTTTGTTTTATCTTGTTTTGCTGGAGGACACACGCATCTGCCAGAGAAAGACGGAGAGAGGAGAAAGCAGCTCCCATGGGGAATGGCCGTGCTACAGTCCCTTCTCCTCCGTCTCTTCATTCTTTTCAGGATTTTCGGCACGAATACAAATGTACCCAGCATACTTCTCAAGTTGCCAGGTCCAGGACTTGAACCATGCAGTTGGCCCTGTGGGATCCAGCTGTTTTAATCACCAGACCATGGAGCCAGCCCCATCATATAATTGAATCTAATGTAAATGTGCCTTCAGCTCTAACTCTACAGGGATCCAGAGTCTTGTACATAAACTCAGAAAATGTGTGCTAAGTACCTCCTGTGTATATAGCTTTGGGCCAGATGCTGGGTGGAAGACAAAGATAAAACACAATTCCATCCACAAATACATTTTCATTTCACTTAAGTGCTAGGAAAAGAGGGATAAGAAGACAAGTTGCCGGGGCCGGCAAGTGGCATGGCGGTTAAGGGTGCTGGATTCCCACATGACTGACTGCCGTTTGAGTCCCGGACCAGACGGCTTGCCTCCTCACTTTCCTTTTCTAAAATCCCCTTTCTAATTGAAATAAATAAAAAAATGAAGTTAAATAAAGTAATTTAAAAATAAATAAATAAAAGACAAGTTACCTATCGTGGGTAGCAAACTTTTCCCCATCCATTTTGACAGAGGAAACCTCGGACTTTGCTGAACCCACCACCCACTTCACCAACAACCAGCACCCCTGAACCGGATACCAGCACTGTACCCCAAGATGCTGCCACCATCCCCAACTCAGCCATGCAGGCCCCCACAGGTAAGAACAGCTGATGCAACAAGCTCCAGTCCCCAAGTGCTGCACCTTCTCATCTGACAACAGTAACTAGCTACCTGTCCATTCGTAAACATAGTATTGGGTTGTTTGAAAAGTCACGATGTATTTTTCTATGTTTTCTCTGCAAAAATGCACCATGACTTTCCCAACAATGCAAGAGAATCTTATTGTTTTATCTTTGGCATTTGGAATAGTCTCAGAAAGCCTTCATTCTATCAAAACAACCAAAGAAAGTAAGTGAGTGAGTGTTCTGTGGATTCAGTGCTGGGGCACTGGAGCAGGGGGTTGTAGGGGCAGCCCCAGCTTAAAATAATATTCACCCTTCCCAGATAAGGATGCTTGTCCACCTTTCAGAAACCTTCCAATATTCTATTAATGCCTCCACCACTCAAATATCCATAAAACTCCTCTGATTTTTTTTAAACAATCAATGACAGTGTAAAACCTCAGTACAATGAGAGTGAATTGATTTTGGAGACCAACTAATGAATGATTGATTCAAAGAAAAACCTGGTGCCTGAAGGAGATGAGTGATCAACTTGAGTTCTGTATGTCTGTTCCCATTTCATAAACTATGAAGGGAACTCTGTTCTTCAGAATAGATGCAGAGCCTCCCAGTGGAGTAATTGTAAAGAACAATCCTCATTTGTTACGTGTAAGTGAGAGTACACGTGTGAAACCTTGCTGTTACTCTATAGGCACTCCGTCGTCTTCAGGGAAGTCTAAGCAATTGCAATGATCCCTTGAAAGTTAGGGTGGTCTTTCTCTTAGGAGTTTAGTATGTCTCTGCCTAAACCCTAGAGTGTAAGAGCTTGAAGAGAAGGCCCAACCAGTTTCTGATTACCTCCAGAAGACAGTTCGCCTGCCTGTAGCAGGCATGTCCAGCCCCACTCAGCTGCTACCACGTGATTTTCCATGCACGTCATCTGCACCCAGCTCAGGCCAGTTACTGGGTTTGCCTAGTCTGAGAGTGTCGTTAGGTTAATGAGCAGTGGCATTTGGCCCTGAGCTGCATGGATAAGGACAAATGGCCCTCTTTGGCTTTGTGAAGGATTTTTTTCCCTTATCTTTGATTCTCTGTAGTTTTTTGGGCATTTTTCCTGCCTGCCATGCTCTGGGATCCTTGTAGTTTGATATCTGACATTAATGTGGGGAAATTCTTAATCATTATTGCTTTAGTTCCTTTCTCTTTTCCTCCTTCTTCTAATATTGCCATTACACATATATTATGCCTTTTGTAGTTGTCCTTACAGTGTAGGGATATTCTGTTTAGTTTTTTCCCTGTCCTTTTTCCTCTGTTTTTAATTTCGGAAGCTTCTGTTGCGATATCCCTGAGCTGTTACTCCCCAGTGTACTAGCGAGCCAGTCGAGGCGTTCTTCATCGCTGTGACAGTGCTGTTAACCTCTAGGATTTCCTTTGCTCTGTTAGAATCTCCTTCCTTCTGCACGTTGCCCATCATTCTCACGTGTTGTCTGCTTTATCCATTAGTCTGCAGTGTATTAATCACAGTTGGTTTTTGTTGTTGTTGTTGTTGTTGTTTTTTCTTTTTTTGGAGAGTTTTTTTTTCACTATAGGGCGCGTGCGCTCGCCAGACAGACAGAGAGAGACATAGAGACAGAAAGCGAGAAATCACCCCCCAGGGGGGATGGTCACACCGCAATCCCTTCTCCTCCATTCTCCTCTCTGGATCTTGGGCACGCACTCACACGCACCCGGCGTGAGTTTTAAGCCACCGGGTCCGGGACGTGAACCGCAGTCGACTACGTGGGAATCCAGCGACATAGCCATTACACTAACTGCTCGTTCCCGAATCACAGTTGTTTTAAGTTCCCGATCTGATCATTTCAACATCTTCACCATTTCTGAGGCTGCTTCTGATACCTGCTCTGTTCCTTCAAATTGTGGTTTTTGTCTTTGAGTATACCTGTACCTTGTCATTTTTCTTGATAACTGGGCATGATGTACCGGGTAAGAGGAGGGACGGTGTGCGGGGAAGCAGGCTACAGTCCTGTGATTAGGTCTCAGTGTTCCGGCGGGCCTGGGTGCCTGGGCTGTGAATGTCACCAGTGCTCCTCAGTCATTCCTCCCGCCTCCCCTTAGATTGGCCAGAATGGCTAAAGTGGCCTGGAGTAGGATCTTGCTCTTTTCACACACAGTCAGCTTTGTGGACTGGAGTTGGTTATTTCTCTTCCTCCAGATCATTTAGGCTCTGACTAAACAGTTTCTCCCAAGGGAAGGCCTGTTAAGAATGGAGTGGTCTGCTGTACTGTATTTCTTCCCTTTCTCAGAGATTTTTTGCTATAGACACATGCACTCGCCAGAGGGACAGAGAGAGAAAGAAATCACCCCCCAGAGGGGCTGGCCATGCCACAGTCCCTTCTCCTCTAATCTCCTCTCGAGATCTTGGGCACACACACACACACACACATACACCCGGCATGAGTTTTTTTTTTTTTTTGGGGGCT